ATGATCGGAGCCGTGTAGATGTAGATTTGAACTTTGCTCCCGATTTAAGCTAATCAGGTCCGTGTCATCATCTATTATTTTGACAGCCGATAAGGGCTCGAATAAGTATGTATCTGAACTTTGACATTCACATGTGTTTACCATCCTCGCAGCAACAGTTCCCTTATCTCACCGATGCCGCTGTCTAACGTAAGCTGGAGCTTGGTCTTGGCCTGGGGCTGGTTCTGGTTTTGGTTTTGGTTCTGGTGCCGGAGTGATAAGAGAATTTAATTTTCAAAACCAGTAATCACAAATCGATGTTCTATTTAAATAGGGCATTAAAAATACATTTTTGGTTTGGATGGTGCTGCTCGAAGACTGACAGAGAGAGAGGCAGTCAGCCGATAATCAGTGCAGCGAGAACATTTTCTTTGTAGGGCCACGTGGGGTTATCGGCCTCCTAAATACTCGCAATGCAACTGTGTGTTATTTCATATTATTTTTCCAAACGTTTATGTTCCATTTGACACAGTTGCAGAGGCTCTTATATACATACATATGTACGCACATATTTACACACCCGGGAGTGCTATCAGTCGGTCAGTTCTATACAGTGGAACCTTCTAATCTGGTACTCCTCGCCTTCGCCTTCGCCCTCGCGCTCGCCCTCCCAGCACAGACAGTACGACGAGTATGATGGTCAGGTTCCGAGCGCATGAATCCCCTAGGATAGGGGAATCGAGGGAAATCTATTCTTGAACCCCCACTGAACTTTGAGCTACAAAATGCATTGCTCTAGTGAATGGAATCTATGAAGAAAAGTCCAGAGGGATTCTGAATAGAAAGATCTCTCTGTTATTTCACATCTATTAGGTAGTACTCTGGCCTTTCCGATGGGATTCGTTTGCTCGGCTTTCCATCATTCTATCTAGATTTTGTACATTTCGAACCATAACTCCAATGTTAGAGGGGCTTTTTCTGGACATTTGCTTAAGTTATATTCCTTTGCATTTAACTTTTAGCATTTTGACATTTAGCTTCGCGATGGCCGACTAAGACTGTGACTGAGAATTGGCTTCGTTCCCGCTCCACACCCATACCGCTCGTCTCTTAAATGGCGCCCCCAAAGAACTAGTCGCTATTTTCTCACTGTTCGGTCCGTCCGTCCGTCCGTCGGTCCGTCCTTGTAGCTGTCCACCTCTCTGTCTAGCCGTCAGCTCTAGCCGGCGGTTCGCTTTTAGTTTTAGCATTTACTTCTGGCATAGTTTGCATTTTTCTAGCCACTCGTATCTATCTATCTATCTATCTACCCATCTATCTATGTATATGGCATGTTTCATTTCGTTTTTCGTCTATTTTTTTAGTCGTATTCTACAAGTATATGTATGTTCTTATTGTACTCTGTGCTGTGCTCGTTTTTGTTATGGGGGATGGGTGTACGAGGGCTGTAAATGCCGCGTGTGCTCATCACTTGCAGACACTTTAGAATGCAATGCAGCTTCCATCTGCGAGATACACAACGCACTGAGAGTAGACAGTAGAAAGATACAATCGAATGCTCAAGCGGCTCAGATCGGACCGGATCAGATCGAATAAAATTATACCCAATTGGTTTTAATCCTTTTTGTTCCACTTTACTTTATTGTCATTGTAAACAGTTTTTGCCCTTTTTTCATAATGTACTGTACAGATAGATAGATAGATAGATAGATCGCCAAGTAACGTTAGCCGAAGCTCTAGCATGTTATATATTTGACACATTTCCAACAACAGCGGGGAAAATCTTCGGCTGTGTTTACGCCACTATCTTCGCACTTTTCGAACGTGGCTGGAATCTGGCAACTGAATTGGAAAATTGCATATTAGTTTTATTCAAGGTCTCTGAGGTACCTCAGACGAGACACACAAAACGGGACAGAACAGAGGGATCGGATCCCTATTACTTACTAGTGAATCAGGGCATCACCATCAGCGGTATGGCAGTATATGATACCACAATAGTCTTTGTGCTGCGAGTATTCTCCCACTTTAGTATTAGAACCTGGGGTTTTGCAGCTCTGTGATTTCTCATCGCCAGGATATTTCTGGTAGTGAACCAACGAATGCGCCCCGGATATGGCCAGCAGCAGGATGAGGATATTCTGCACGACAGCCATGATGACAGACCAGACTAGTCAGACAGCTAACTCCACTTGCTAACTGAATGCACTGCCACTGCCACTGACACTTTTATAGGCCATATTCAAATTGGCTCCAGCAGGTGGCAGAGAACCTGCGATTCACAGCAAAACTGTGGCTTAGCCAATGATGGCTTCTGCGTAAAGACGGTTCTCTCGGAAATACATCACACGTTCACTTGTAATAATTGGGTTGGGTAATCCCCCACTCGTTCATTCGATCTCTAGATCTAGAACTAGGCGACTTTGAGCAACTAATCAACTGCTCAAAATATACCTCAGGAATCGAATTCTGAGAATTCCTGATCAATAAATGCGAACGCGAGGCTTGCTTATTTTCTTTTATCTGCCGCTGCTGCTCTCGAGTGCTGCCGGCTATCGACGGGCCAAGGTAAGGGCGTCCAACCCATGGGCCTCACCCACCTATTGACCCGACCTCACTATCGACCCCCCCACCCGCAGAGACATCGGGCCCCACGCAAGCGAATGGCCAGGCCGCAGAATCTCTTCGAGGACTTTGCCCCCCTCAGCATTGATGCAGGAGGCGGTTACGGATACAACCATCGGGGAGATGCGGGTCTGGCTGGTGGGGAGACCGCTGGGAGTGAAGCTGCTGGAGGAGCTGCTGGAGGAGCTGCTGGAGGAGCTACTGGAGGAGTTGCTGGAGGAGCTGCCAATAACTGCCAAGAACCCTCGGCGCAGTGCAATGTAAAGGAGATCTTCAAGCCCGGCAATCCCAAGGAAAAGTCCTTTTCCATAGCGTTTCAGGCGGCGCAGGACGCGAAGGCGGCCAACGAGGCGCAGGCGGCAGCAGGCCTGGCAGCGGCTCAGCACATCAAACTGGAGCTGGCCGAGAAGGCGTTCCAGTCGGCCAAGGCGGCGGAGGCGGCTCTAATGGGCAAACAGATGATGGTCGAACAGCTGGAGCAGGAGGTGAGCCAGGCCAACGCCGTCATCGAGGAGGAGACCAACGCGCTGCATAGCACGGAGATCAACATGAAGGCGGCCATGGATGCGTCCCGTCTGGCTACCGAACAGTTGCACTCTTTCACCGAGTTGCAGAAGACCTTCAAGGAGAACCTGGCCAACATCCAGACTGTGGCCATGGGCGTCCAGCAGGAGATGGCCTCCAAGACGCAGCTGCTCGAGGCCGCTCAAAGCCGGATTGCAATGCTCCGGCAGCAACTCCAGATCTCCAAAGAGGACTACGAGAAGACCAAACAGGCAGCTTATAAGGCTGCCTGTGCCGCCATCGAGGCCAAGCAGAAAGCCGCCTCGAATATTGACGGCATTTCGGCTGTACGCAAACGCCGTCAGCCGCCCCACCGCCCCTTATCGATCGATGACAATGGAGTCGAGGAGAAAGCGAAAGCTTGATAACAACACACACACAATCCCAATCGTACATATATTTTGTAGATGCTGTTCTGATTTCACACTTCCATATCAAAATGATCCTTTCAAAACTGTGTACTGAGCTCTCGGGGGAGTTTTGGGCCCCGAATTGGCCGTGGATGCAGTGGAAACTTTAGAAGCACTTGCAGCAGGCCTGTGTACTTGCAACCAGGTGTCACGTTACTAACGAGCATGCCATATGCATTGCAATTTCCCTTGAAGAAAATGGAGTGTGCAGAACTTCCGCGAAATTCGCGAATGCCGGTTACCATGTGGCGGACCACGAAAAATGTGCCTCTAATCGTGGGGCGGGATAGTAGTACAAACCTACATATGTACATATGTATATCGTAGAATGAAGTACTATAAAGGGCACAATCAATCAGGGGACTAACCATTAAATGCTTGTTACTCGTTGCGAAAATGAATATGAATTATACTCGCAGCTTAAGTCGGGTCCTAATTGGGCTCATGCTCCTGTCCCTGGCGGATTCTCTGGTGCACTATTGGAAACTGGAAGCAGGCGCAGGTGACTTGCTCCATTTCTACCATATAGTAGTGCTCTTTATTCAATGTTTTTTGTTTTTGGGTTATATTTGAACTATTTCAGAAGAAGGGTGCAAATTCGAAGACCGCGACCTTAAAATAGATGAAACGGCGAAGAACCCAGATGTGTGCGGGGTACTAGCATGCCAGAACAATCAAGGCGACGCCCTCATTCAATAGCAAGTATTCGCCATCTTTCACATGTTTTCCACTGACGGCAATCAATGATTCTCCTCGAATATACATGTGTAGCTGCCAGATACCAGCCGTCTTTGCAGGCTGTGAAGCAGATTCCGTGAAGACGGACGCGGATTGGCCCGATTGTTGCTGGCTTTGCGTTACGGAGGTGAACTGTGCCCAAAACGCAGCAACAACCACGGCGGAGCCCCTCTAATAGTTCATGTGTTTATCCATACAAAATCATGGATCATGGCGGAATAAATCAAGCTGGAGACTTTGGGGCACCTGCCCTTGCAACGGGCCTCAGTCTCATCTTACCCCCCAAACATTCCCCCAGTAAACATTCCATGGGGGTCGATTTCAGCCAGAGGGAACGTCTCGGGGGTAGAACTAATTTGCGAAATGCCCAGGTGCGACTTGCCTACGTATCGTATTGAATCGTAGTAATCGGCGGGGTCTATAAATGGGCCCACCAGCGAAGGGACCACCAATCAAACGCTTTCCACTGGTTTTGTCGGGTGTTCCACAGTTTTTGTTCCGTTCAGTTTACGATCAGTTTCCGAAAATGAAATACATTTTCTTCATAGTTCTGGTTGGGCTCATGCCCTTGGTTAAATCTCTGGTGCACCCTGCTAATTTGGGCAAGAGTGGAGGTAACTAACGCCTCTGTTTCCCCATGCATGCTCTTTCAACGGGATGATACTAGTATTCCACTTATTTCAGATGGCAAGGGCTGCAAGGGACCAAAGGGTGACATTTTGCCGGGAGAAATGGTGCAAGACGAAAAGGTTTGCGGCGTCTTTTATTGCGCGACCGACAAGGGGGACGGCTTCATCCACTAGCAAGTATCCACCCGTTTTCAATATAGCATTTGACACTCTTCACTGATCGGCGGCCCTTTTAATACCCGATCGCTTTACTTCTAATGTAGCTGCCAACTAACAGCAACATTCGCAGAGTGCAGTGGAACTACCGTGTCGACAACGGTGGACTTTCCCGATTGCTGTTGGTTGTGCGTCAAGGATAAGAAGTGCGATAAGGAAGGTGGAGCAGAAGCAGGAGGAGCAGGAGGAGCAGAAGGAGCAGGAGTGGCCACAGAGAAGCCCCCACCTTAACGAGCACTCTTCAATCAGTTCAACAAAAGTCCAGATCGAAATCTCTTAAAACACTTGTTACTTGTGATGGTTTTCTTAAATAAACAATCCTATACGAGTACAGTTCTCAATTCGTTGTTGTTTTGCTCATACATATGTTTAACTTAACAATCAGTGTAGTAGACGCATTCAAAACAGCATTCGGGAAATAATTTATACGTGTCAACGCCAGTTTCGTTGCACTCCTGGAACGGGAGTGTGGTCTGGCAACTGCATGGTCAGGATCAATTTTGATTATTCGATAAATCTGATACCAAATTGTGTCACTTACTATACTATAACGGTGGTTCCGGACGTGTCATAGCATAAATATTCACCACACATTTCGAAGTGATTATCACGCATATTAGTGCTAAGTATGCGGCCATCTGGCAAAGCGCATGCTTCATCCGCGGTGCCTTTGGCTGGATACTTTACCCACGCTGCCAACGAATGACTACAGGACACGGCCACGGCCAGAATGATAATGCTCTTCAAGATAGCCATCATTGTAAACAAGCCAGACAGTTACCTCAAGTCTCTAGCTCACTGAACGGGACTGTGGCTGATACTTCCTTTTATACCTTTTATAGTAAATATTTATTTTCTCACCAGAATCTGGCAGCGCACCTGGACTCTCCATGAGAATAACGTCTCTGCAAAGGCTCCACACCCAGTCGTAGGAAAACTTTATGAAATAAACCTATATATGTACATATATCTTTCAGATTCAAAATGTGCCAGATCTCCAAATGCTCGTAAATGATCAGTTTTCGTACATTAGACCTCGCCGACTAGACTTTCCTTCATCTAAAACAGTGAGATACTTTTCAGTGTAAAAGGAAAACGATAGGCAGCAGGGTGTTCCCAGTTGCATTTGCACTTGCAACGAGTGTCCAATTGCCGCTTGGATCGTATTCTCATGTAGGATTATTGAACATTTCTGCGAAATGCGATGGCTTGCATGTGGCAGTACATCGAATATCGGGGGCCGTGATAGCGTAGTATAGAGTACTATAAAGGGACCAACAAACCACGCGGCCAGCCATCGAGGGCTTTTCACTCGTTACAGCAACAGTTCTAGAGGCGAAAATGAAGTTTACTGTAATTGTAATGGGGCTCATGCTCATCCCATTTGGAAATTCCCTGGTGCACTATATGAAGCTGGAACCAGGCGCAGGTAGCCCACTCCCCTTCTTTCATATTCTCTATATTCGAGAGGTCATCTTTGTGATTATTCCAGACGGTGGCTGCAAGGGCACAAGCGGGGACTTGAAAGTGGGCGATTCGGAGAAGGACCCCCTTGTGTGCGGCTCCATCCACTGTACGAACGATGCTGGCGACGCCTTCGTCCACTAGCAAGTATCAGCCAAATCATCTGCCTATCTCAACTCTGTTGTGAATAACTCAATAATTTTATAGTTGTCAAATACCAGTTCCATTCGCACTGTGCCCTGGAAGAGGCGTGACCACAGAAATCGAGTTTCCCGACTGTTGTTGGATCTGCACCACCTACAAGAACTGCTGATTAACGGACCACATGAGCAGCGGGTGCTTTGCCAATCATTTTATTCAGCTATCTTTCCAAAAGGGTTCCCACTCTCTAGCCGAAAAATGTGCCCATCGGGAACGAAAAATACAAATGGAAAAGGTGATGCACGCAATAAAAGAACAATTATAAACCAGATCTGGGTGTCGGGTAAGGAGGAGGGCCACTTAGGAATATGATGAGCGGTTTGGACTTGGCTTCAGTTCGTGCAAAAGAAATTCGGATGACGTATGCACATTGAACGGGAAAGACAAGTATAACAACAAAGAGCAACCAAAACGAAATCCAGAAAGCTGTTTGGGCACACAATTTGTAAGCTGCGGCTGCTGCTGACAATGATACCCTACCTGAAAAGCGATACACATACATATGCACATATGTTATGCACTCTCGCATGATCCTTCTAATGGGCGAATGATTTCCAGGAGAATCTAGACATTCCAGGCACGCGCAGAGTAAGAAATAAACACGATTGTGTGTCGGGGTTCAAGGGGTTCAGAATCAAGGTGTATCCGACCAAGGTAGAAAAAAGTAGCTATTTTTCTCTTACGCTTTATTTGTTAAGGACCCGTTTTAGAACCCTGAAAAAATACAATTATTTAATTCGGTGAGCATAGCATAAACACTTTCGGTCCTCTTAGAAGTTATCGCATATGTAACTAGAAATGGCAGAGATTCACTACTTTAATTATGACCAATTAAGTTTTTCCAGAAGGGTGCGTAGCGACGGCGAAAACGAGCAACCTTAACGTACCGTGTCGTCTCAACCGCAGAAAACCATGCGGTGCAACATGTTCGCTCCGAGGGAGATGGCTAGCAAACGAAACGCAACAACAGGCGCGAAAGAAAAACAGCGTGCCAAAGCGAGATGGCTAGAATGCGCACACCCAGCAACAGCAACAAAAACACACCAAACGGTAAGCTAATAGAAATGCGACAAAATATATACCCAGAAGCGGCGCCAGAGAGAGAGAGAGCGAGAACGAATAGAACAGCTGTCTGAGAGTCAACATGTTTGAGGTCGTTCGCGCTTTAATTCAGTCATGATTTTTTCCGCCCAGCCGTTTTCCGTTACAGTTTTGATCGCTCAAGTCGGAGTTGGATTCGAGTTGCGTTGGGTATGGTATCACACTCATACTCATACCAAACGCAATCCCAACCGCTGACTACCGTTGAATGACTAGACGCAAAAACGTAAAAGTAAAAATGTTTTGATCGCGCGCTCTGACGGACGTCACCTCCTCGTCCGCCGTCACTCGCCTTAAAAAAAGAAACCACAGCAGGGCGAAACGGACAAGTGCGCGTCCACATTCTCGGTCCGTTGCAAGCTCCCGCGTGCCGCCTCGAAGTGCCCAAATTAATCCCGATGAAGCTCCAGAAACCAAGAAGACTCGGTACGCTCACATCAACACAACACCTAACGAATTCTAATTTGTATGCGTCCGTGTGCGAGTGAAGAAGCTAAAGCTATCGAGGAATTTAACATTTAACACCTCGGCCAGGCCGTGCCCACGCGTGTTTCACACATTTCAGCCGACCTTTTCCCGTGAATTCGCGCGAGTCCGGAATTAGACAGTGGCAACACGTGGACGTAGAAGGCCATGACTCAGAGCATTACCAGCACCAGCTAATTGTCAAATTTTCCAAAATTGATAAAGACAAAAAATACCACAAATCCACAAGCCATTCCCCCCAATGTGTTAATGAAAGCAATAGTCGACGGAAATAAAGCTTCGTGTCACGATTTTATAATCACCGAAACATCTCAACAGGAACAGGCATAGGAAAGCGGGTTTCAAGAACGATTCCAGCTGAAATACCCGCCAAAGAGGAGTGAGCGAGAGGCATAATAACTGAGTATTTCTTTTCTTCATTATTTCCAAGCCCGAACCGAAGAAGCAGAGAGAACCGTTACGATGGCGACAAAAATGTGGTCACAATTGCAATCAAAGACACACGTAAACGTAACGGCGAGCAGCGGGCAGCAGGCAGCGCTGCTTCAAACATGTTGCATGCAACCAATCTGCGCGATCGGCTCGAAGATCGCAGCCATGCCGAACCATGCCGTCGCTGCCAGCTTTCACTTCGTTTTTACAATTTTTCAATTCGTTTTTGGCGCTTTTCACTTCGTTTTTGACGCCCGATCCCAACGGTTCTTGGGGCTTGGGGTTCTTCATAAGTGCTCTTGCACATCGTGGACGGCCTGTACCTACATGTGTAGATATTGTGTGTTTGCCGCGCGGGCGTTATTGTGCATATTTCCGGTGGCCGAAAAATGAGAGGAATAACAGCTATACGATAAAGCTATACATTTCCAACAAATCGCTCACAAGCACTCGCATCTCCCATGTTCTGTGTGTTCGTTGTGTGTGTGTGTGTATAGGTGATCCACTCGTAAAAATAATAATAATTGCATTTATCGGGTGTCCGACCGGCGCCAGCTTCAATTTAATTATAAATAACATCAACTAAACTAAATAGCGCCATCGCTTCCACGCTCTTTCGAGATCAGTTCCAGTCGGCAATACCAGATGTACAACACACTCACATGCACGTGTGAACATGTGTGTGTATACATAGTTCTGTATACTTTCCAACGTTTTTGCTTGAAAGAGTCCAAGTAGGCGTTGAGGCAAACCTCGTCCCTCTTCGCGTTCAGCCTCCTACCGTATCGTCTGGTCTCGTCTCTCAGGGAGAATCACGCGCGCCGGTACAAAGTTAAAGTTTACTTACACACACGCGAGAACAACCTTCGTAGTACTTAACGGATCCCGTTTGTCAACCCACTTTTGAGCCAAGGGAAAAATCAATACATTTCGAGGCCCCTTGCTTTGGCGGAGACCCAGACACCACCGAAGATAATCCCAACCCAGCCAAAAACTTAAACCGATTTAAAAAATAAACGTTCGAAGAGAATGAAATACATTTCTTCTTATCGGGGAGCTGGGGACAATGTTCCAAGGTTTTCGAAAACTGAGAACTTTGAGCCGGCGCACACTCGATAATAATTAACTAGAATTCTCGGCAATAAATATGTACATAAAAGAAGAAAATACTAAAAATAACAAAAGAGGGAAACACAGTGCGGTGACGAAAACACGTTTTGCTATTCGCAAGGACATCTGTTCACATCTTACCGGGCAGCATTAGATCCTTTAGATACCTCTAATACTGTCAGGTAAAGATGTCGTCCGTGTCCTTATCCATCATAAATCCCAAGAAGAGCAAACAAGGCGTAAAAAACTAGTTTTTCAATTGTGCGTGTAGAAGCCCGAAAAAGAGATCACATCACAGCGGAAGGAAGGAAGGAGAACACGACGGACCAGAAAGAGAGAGAGAGAGAGAGAGCTGCTGGATGTCGATGTGGATAAATGAACAGGCAGCAGAGAAATGGTCATAATTTTTTTTTTTGCAGCATCAGCAACGACAAGACGCGACGCGACGCGTTTTGGGATGACATCAGTAAGAGACAGAAAAAAGAGAGGGAGAAATACATATCTGTACTCGGCCCCTCTTCTGTTCGACGGTCGACCGGCGCCGCCCATGGGAGAGTGGTGGGGAGAGGAGAGTGTGTGTGCAGGTAAACCTTATAGAAAGAAGACAACGTGGTCGGAGGAGCGGGCAGAAGAGGGACCAATAAAAAATATATTTTATGGTTCCGCTTCTTTTTTCGTTTTGCGTTTCGTTTCTTAATTTCTTCTTTTCAGCATTTTAGTGACAAAAATTCACTTTTTATGATGCCATTTCCCTCTTTTACCCCTCCCTACCTACTCCGCGATTTACGATTATAGCTAACTATCCGAAGCATCAGGTTGGGTTTCATTTTTTTCCTGTCTATGTTAAATGTTCATAATCCGAAATTATAGAAATGTGAAACCAGAAACTGAACGGACATGCTCGTCCATAATCAAAAAAGAAACAAATTAAATGCTTACAAATTGCAGAAGCGTGATCAAATCGAAAGAGAAAAGCACGGCTTTTAGGGATATTTCATTGGGCTATGGTCGCCCAATATATATGATGTGCCAATCGGTCGTACCTGTTCAGAGCACCGTGCAGATGGCATTATGTGTACCATAAATATAGCAGCTGCAAGTAGCGCAGAGCAATCACTGCAAAGCAGCTGCCTCGTTTAGCAAGTGCTGATCGATTTCCCTTTTGTGCTGGCATTCTTCCGTTCGTTGCAATTCTCTGCATTCGATTCACGCCTTTGCTGATAAGCTACAGCATTGGAGGCTGATCTCGCCCCGAGACCTGCACTATCTCTTCGCTTCTCTTCTAGTCGGCTGCCTATCCTACACATTTCACTGTGTGTGTTTGAGTGTGCGCTGTAAAGGCGAAAACAAATACCGGTGCCGGCAAACACAACCGGGGCTATTGTCAAGAGTGACCAGAGTAATGTGGCTATGGGGTCTCTCAAGGAGGGGGGGCGAAATTTCGTAGGGGAGATATATGACCCACAAACACACTCGTAATGCACACCAAGGAACAGGGCTCGTAAAAGCGTTTAGAGGCTTTTAAATTTTACAGTTTCTTGGCACAGTGGTACTCATGTTTAATGTACTTAGTGTTCCTTGGGTGCTTGGCTGGTTGGCGACGGTGGGGCCGCTGTGGTAAAAGGGGTTAATCTAATCAGGAAAACAAAAAATGCGTTAGCTGCGGTCGTCTGGTGGAAAAGATCCCCAATGGCGGAACCGAACGAGACGAAACGACCAACGTAACCAGAACGAATATAACACCTGTTAATGAACTTAGGAGCGACTCTAATGAAATACACATACACACATGTATACCAAGGTCTGCCCCTCTGTGCTACAAAAAACCCTTTTGGAGTCTTCTAATTAAAGATTCTATAAATCTACCGCCGCAGGTATCCCCCTGATAATGCATTCGATTCATTGCTGATCATCTCCGACTTTGGTTGCTTAGATCCCCTAAGATTTCTAAGATTGAAGCATTTACAAAGAATTTACTTTAACCTTGCGCAAGGTGACCGGCAATGCAGACAACATCTACAAATAATCAATCTACCGTTGTTGTCACCAGACAGAGCCGCTGGCCAAGCCCTAAAAGACTCTTGGTATTTCATAATTCGGTTGAGAATATTCCAAGCGGTCTAACGGTCA